GTACCCAGCTCTGTGTCAGTCGGGGTTTTCAGGTCCAAATAACAGAATCCACTGTGGCTAGCTTAAGCAGAAAAAATAATGAAGCAAATAATAATAATGACAGAATCTTTGGGACAGCAAGAGAAAGAGACTTGGAGCTAAGCACCAAGAACAGTGTCAGAAGTGATGCTGTGGAACTAACACGGTGAGGGAATCACCATTACGGCATCTGAACCTGACTGCACTAGTTACTGCCACCAGCCAGCACTGACATCACTTCTGCATCAGAAGGTTAACCTTGCAGCCTCCAGGAAACCATCGCCACCTACTACCACCACCATCGTCACCCCTGCCACCACCCACGTCAGGGAAGATGGACAGTCCAAGTACATCCTGTCTCTGCACCTCACTCATTTCCAAATGAAAGTCACGCCTGAGCGTACCTGAAGGACAGAGCCTAAGTCATAGGCCTGTGGCCCAGCTGCAAGGGAGGTTGGGAAGTCGAGTTCTGGGATAAAACAGAGATTTCCACAAATATTAAAAAAGACTTTCTAAGGATGGTAGACAGCCACGAATACGACTGACGTCCACTACAATCACCAAAGTATTTTAAAGTAAGGAAAACAAGATGCAGAACGATATGCATAGAATACTCCCACTTGCATAAGGAGTAGAAACAGTCTACATGCATAGACTATCTCTGGAAGGTTCTGCAGGAAATGAGTAACTATTATCTCTGGGGAAGGGAACTCAGTAATCAGGGGTGGGAAGAAGATTTAATTATCACTGTATACTTCCCTGTACCCTTTGGTGGAGATGGATGCAATGTAAGGATGGAGAAAGAGGGAAGGGGGAAGAGAGGGTAGGAGGAAAGGAGGTGTCATGTTTCTTGCTCCTTCCATTCTCAAAGGTGGGCTCCAGAGTGGCCCCATGGAAGGCCTTTTTACTGTTCTTTGCCCTTCCTCATCCTTCTTCATCCAGCTGTAGATACAGTGGGACACGCCCTCTCCTCCCTGGCAAGGAGGAAATTTCAGAACTTGCCTGGGCATAGAAAGTGCTTGTTATCCATCGAGCTGGAAAGGAGGGTGCAGCTGTAATAGGCACATTCTGCTTCTTTGCACTGAGCAAAACACGTTCTCCACGCACACGAACACAGCTCCCATTTTGTGTATCCCAACGACTCAATGCAAATAAAAAATACATTTTAGGTGTCCATTGTCACTTCTTAGTTGCCAGATTTTTAGGTTTATAAGCTGAAGACTTAATAAAGAAATTGATATTGGGTAACACCCTATTTGTTTTGTCAAATAAAATCATCAACTAAAAAAAAAAAAATCCACCTCTTTTCTCCTTCAAGCAGCTTTCTCATTCTATCTAAATTAATTATATAACATTTTTTAAACTTTGAGGGCTCATCTAGTGGAAATGGGAAGGTGATAGAGGAAGAAGGTCACTTGTGTTTAAAAAGTTAGAGTTAGCTGGACATGAGGTGGCTCATGCCTGTAATCCTAGCACTCTGGAAGGCAGAGGCAGGAGGATGGCTTGAGGCCAGGAGTTAGAGACCAGCCTGAGGCAGAGCAAGACTCCGTCTCTACAAAAAGATAGAAAACTTACCCAGGCATGGTGACATGCACCTGTAGTCCCAGCTACTCAGGAGGCTGAGGCAGGAGGATCACTTGAGCCCAGGAGTTTGAGGTTGCAGGGAGCTATGATGATGCCACTGCACCCTAGCCCGGGTGACAGAGTGAGACCCTTGTCTCAAAAAAAAAAAGTTAAAGTAGCTGAGAGTTTCAAAGGTCCTCCACTCGGACATTTCCCTTTTGTGTTCAGTGAATATGGAATATGGCCACATCTCTCATCCAGCCCAATCTACTCATACCCAGTTGGATAACACAGACATGACTTATCTTTTTGAAGGTACTAATTCACAGGTCAGTCTATTCGTGTACAGGTAATTAATAACAGATATTATTTCAACATTTGCGCCATGAACATGTAAGATTTTAAGCTCGGGAGATATAGCTTCTTTTTTATTTATTTATTTATTTATTTATTTATTTTTTACTTCAGCAAATTATGGGTGTACAGATGTTTCGGTTACGTGTGTTGCCCTTGGTTCCTCCCCGACCGAAGTCCGTGTTTCAAATATGTCCATCCTTCGGGTAGTGCGCATTGCCCTCCTTGTGTATACAAATACCCCTCCCCTCCTCCCTCCTCCCCACTCCTCCCATCGCCCTCCCCCTTCCCCAGCATCCAATGGATGTTGTTCTGATATGTGCATTTATGTGTTGATTAGTTAATACCAATTTGATGGTGAGTACAAATGGGTCCCGTTCTGCTGCTCTTGTGGTGCCCCACTTTGGATAATGGGCTTAAGTTTAATCCAGGAAAGTGTAAGAGGGATATAGCTTCTTTTTAATCTCCACCCTTCTGCTACTTGAAGCACAATAACTATCTGCTAACTAAAAAAATACCTTAAAACAGTTCTCTAGAAACTGCAGGTTATTATGAACAACTATCAAGCTCTTATCCAGTGTTTCAAATTCCATCTCAAAAATCACCTCCTATATGAAGCCTTTTCTTATACTCCCCACCACTCAAACACCTGGCAGAAGTAGACACCCTCTTCTCCATTCCTTAGCACCATACTTACCATTTGAAGATAAAGTCTGTGCCTAGTCAATCTGAGTAATTTCAATATATATAATGTCTAGCTTATAGTAATGCAGTGGCTGAGTGAGTAAATAAGCTAACTCATTCATTGCTGATGAATATGTCTGAATTAATTAAATAACAGATGCAGGGCATTGATTCTGCTTGTTTTTTTTAAGGGAAGTAAGGGTGAGCGTTGTTTCTTTGTAGTTAAAATTGTGAAGACCAGAATACACTTTGTAATCCACTTCTAATCCAGGACCTTTGGGGATGGGTCAGACCTGTGTCATGAGAATGACAGTAAACAGATAATAAGTAAAAAATTAAATTAAATTAAAAACCTAGGACACATAATATACCTGAAACTCACAAACATAATGTTGAACAAAAGAAGCCAGACACAAATAATGCATATGGTCTGATTCTACTTATATAAAGTACAAATCCATCGAAGGAGTAGAAGTCAAGACAATGGTTTAACCTCGGTGGTGGTGGTGGGTGGTGGTAATATGTAAAAGAAGTCACCAAGGGGCTTCTGGGGACTGATCATGTCCTGTTTCTTGATGTGGGCACTCTTTATACACAGGTGTGTTCAGTTTCTACAAATTCATCAGCTATATATTCATGATTTGTGCTCTTGTCTGTATATACTGTGTATATACATACATGTATAATTTCAATTAAAAGCTTAAAAAATATCTTAGGCCAAGAAGAAAGATTAAAACCAGCTGAATTCTTCAACATAACGCAGATATTTTCAGCCGAAATGAAAAATCATACTGGTATAAACAGAGCCGTTAATACTTCAAGGTCACACAGAAGATCTTGAACACAGCCTAAGTTCTAAGTGGCGATGAGCAGTCTCGGGAAAGCAAACTTTAAACACCTTCTGCCCAAGACAAGAGCATATTTGCTCAGTTGGTGTTGGCATGTAGGGAAGTGGGACCAGATGACTGTTGACCTCATTCCTATAGTTGACAAACTACCAAATTTGGAAATTCCATTTCAAGTCTTTCATTATTTTAATTACAGAATCCTATATTTGCTGACAATATTCAACTGACCTTTTAAAATTTAAAGTATCTTTCAGAAGGTTAGAATTCCTGAATATGGCAACGTTCAAGCAAAAACACAGATTCAACTTCTAAATTTTATAACTTTTTGTATTAAAATTTAAGTTATCTCAAGCTTTGTGTGCTTGATGCAAATCGCTAACCCCTGTATTGTTCTGCATGAAATTCCACCATGGTATGGCGGGCATTCCATCCCTGTACCCATTTCACAGATGAGGAAATTATAAATTCCATGTCTGCTTTAGTAACCACTGCATCCTCAGAGCCCAGCCCCACGCTGGCGTGTAGTAAGCACTCAACAAATGCGTGTCATATGATCAAAGGAGGCTTGGAAGGGTTGAGTAAATTGCCTGAGGTCACCCACCCTTCCTGGGTGGCCCAGCTCTCTTTGATAGTAAATCCCACAGGAAGGTGACCGGTGGAACTGGGTGGTGATCCCGAGGTGAGACACAGCAGGTGTGGCCCGGACTTCGCCATGGGGCCTGGCCTTGTGTCGCCCCCACCTCCCCCAGTCTTCTATGTCGGATGCCTCACCCTTCGCGGGGATTTACAATCACCCTCTTACTCAGGGATGAATCGCTTTTGTTTCTTCCCCCTCGCTGATCACAGGTGCTCCAGGACTCCTTACGAGAGAGACAGTTGTTTTCGCCCGGGGGCGGGAGTCTCCGGGCCTGGACGCACGCGGGGGTGTGAGTGATGGGTGTACCTGGAGGGCAGGGGAAGTGGCGCGGCTTTCATCATCTGGGCTAGTCCCCGGCGGGCGTCGGGAACCGGGAAAACTGCAGGCGGCCCCAGAGAGGCGGGATGAGAGGTCGCCAGAGAGGCCGCGGCGGGTGAGCGTGCGTCCCGGGTTCTCCTGGCCATCCCGGCGCAGAGCAGCCCTTCCGCCACCCTTTGCCCTTAAAAAATCTGCGCCCCGCGGAGACGCGCCCCTGTAGTCCCAGCGACTGGGGAGACTGAAGCGGGAGGATCGCTTGAGCGCAGCGGTCCCAGGCTGCAGGAGCTTGGGTGACACCGCTGCACTCCAGCCTGGGTGACAGGGCCAGACCCCATCTCTGAAAAAAAAAAATCTGCTGCGGACTGCGACTCTTCTCCGCCGGAGCGAGACCTAGCAGGCCCAGGGCTGGGCGTGCCCTCGCCTGCCCCGCCGCGCGCTGGCCCTGGCCGGCCGGGCCGCTGGGGGCCACGCAGGGCGGGGACGGTGCACCCGGCGCAGCGCGCGGCTGGGGGCGGGCGCCGAGCCTGAGCGCGAGGTCCAGGGGCAGCTTCGCCCGCGCGCCCTCGCTCCAGCCCTCGCCTGCCGCAGCCTAGCGGAGCAGCCCCCGCGACTGGGGGCCCCACTTGGCCAGCGCCCGCTCCCCGGCTCGGCCTGGGGTGGTCTCTAGGGGCGCAGTTCTGCACGTCCGCGAGGCTGGACGCAACAGGCTCCAGGAAAGGAGGTGGGTGATAAGGTCTAGGGCAGGGGAGCTGGAGGCTGTGTTGGGGACCAGTGACTCCTGAGCGTCCCTGCCCGCCTTCTTTCTGCAGCCCCTTGCACTTAAATGGCTGTTGAATTGAACATAATTTCGTCCGGGTGTGACCACCCTCTCCAGCCCTGTGCATCTGGCCGCGCGAAATACTTTCAGTTCAGCCGCAAGTGCTGCCTGTAATAGGGGTAAGGGACAGGTTTCTGTCCACCCACCGTCCGACCCGGGACCCTGCAGAGCTGGCAAAAGACAGGCCGAGTGGCCTTCGGACACCGAGCACTCTCGAATCTTCCCGGGCAAGCGTCAAGGACGGTTTCCCCCACCTTTTCCTTCCTTCCCTTCTTCCTTCCTTCCTTTTCTTCCTTTTTTCTTTTTCTTTCTGTTCTTTCATTTTCTATGAAGGGCCGCTGCGCTTCACGTGTGCCTGTGCGCTTTGCTTCTTGTTTTGGTCTCCCTAGATGCGTTTTCCCGGCTGAAGTTTGCTGCTCTTCCCAACAAGTAACAGCTTGCTGCAGATGAGAAGTTCACTCAAAAATGAAGGTGCAGAAAGATAGGAAAGGAATGCAGGGAAACCAGATTGTCTGATTTTAGCCCCCATTTCGTTGTAAGGGAAACACCATCTATTGCCTAAAGGACTAGCGTTTTCATCGCCCAGGTTAGGAAAAGAAAAGACCTTTTACCTGATTGCCCAGTGAAATAAGCAGTAAGGGGTCGCCATGAAAGAAAGATTGCTTTCTTTATGTACAAAGCATTTTAAATAACAACCTCAAATCATAGCATTTGAGAAATTGTGAGAATCTTAAAGTCAAACAGTTCAATGCCGCGTTATAAGTTTGACTATGAAAGGGATATCTTTATTGTCTTTTTGCTGGGAAATATTTGTGTTAATTAAAAATGCTTAGTAGAAGGTGCAGCGAGTTTAGTTCCTGAGGTTTTAGTTTTCTTTCATATTGGCTTTGCAACATTATCAAGATAGTTTTCCAGTGTGGTGGAAAAGAGTTTGAAGTTAGAAAGACCCGGATTTCTATCATCTAACTTGCTGTGTGACTTCAGACAAGTTACCTAACCTCTCTGAGCCTACGTGTCCGCATTTTTAAATAAGGCTGCTAAGAGGATGAAGGGGATAATAGAAGACTGGAGTTAACGCAGAGCGCATCATCCAGGGACTATGTAATAAATGATAGCTGAAGCTGATGATGATAGAAGCAGTTAGGCCTAATGCTTGCAATCACTGCATGCCACTCCTCGTGCAAGAGGGCTCTGCCTGGGCCTTTGTGCATGGGGAGTAGAGGCATTGCATCAGTGCATGCTTCTGGCTATGAAAACATAAGGAGCTACTTTTGAACTCTTGAATTTGATTCAAACACATAAAATCTGTCCTAAATCTGTTCGGATTTACAGTATTCAACTTATCTGTGTGGTGTATTTTGAGATTCTCTTATGCTTACACAATATCAAATGAACACAGAACAGATATGACATTGGTTATTTAATTATTGTTTATTATTAAAAGTAGTGGTCCTCAAATGTCACCATAGTCCCTGGCTTAATATCAATTTGGGTAGGTTAAAGGAAGGAACTGTGTCCTGGAGCTAATTTTTCACTTGGCTGTGTGAGCCACGGACCAGCATCATCTGGAGCTTATTAGAAATGCAGGACCCACCCCAGCCCTGCAGAATAAAATCTGCATTTTAATAAGCTTCTGGTGGATTTGTGTGCACTGTCAGTTAGAGAAGCCCTTTCGTAGGAGTCTGAGTGCATTGATGTTTCTCAAAAACAGGCCTTATGAAAACAAGGATTTCTCAGAAGCTGTCCTTGCATAGTAAAGTGAAAAGGATTCGTTATAATCATTTAAATGATTTTTATTTTAACTATTTAAAACAGCCAAGAGCAGAACCTTTTCTTTAACAGTAAGAGAGGGCTGACACCTCAAGTTTTGTTTAAGTTCTGCCAATTTGGGGTTCTGGTGTTCCTGTTACCCCCTGAAACATTTCAGTTTTGATACTGCTTGGCTTCTTTCCTTCTAGCTCCTCCAAGGAAGAGAAAACTATGGGTTTGAAGTTCACATCCCCATCTGTGCTGTGAAGAATGAGCTTTTCATGTTTATCAGTCCTGTTTTAAAATCTTTTGCCGAGGGTGTATCCAAAAACTTAATAGATGCATTTATATATCAATTTTTATATGGTACAAAATAATAACTTAAGTAAGTCAAATGCGTGGCAACAATTATTAATGACCTATATGTTTATATGCACTTAAGGTAAAACTGCATATTGCAATGACCAAAATGGGAATTATTTTGCATTGTTTTATATTTTGAGCTTTCAGACAGAAAGATACCATCAATATTTGTGGGAGAATTGTAATATTAATAATATATATGTATTTGAGATATTAGATATAAAGGTTTTAATGACATCCTTTTTAAAAATCAGCTTTATTGAGGTATCATTTGCATGCGATAAAATGCACAGATTTTAAATGTACAGTTTAATGCATTTTATTGCATGCAAATGATACCTCACTAAAGTTGGTTTTTCAAAAGATATCATATAGGATTGCCTATTGCTAGAATAGTTCAGAGAATGTCAATAGAGAAGGAAAATGAAGAATTGACATATCAGGCGGACAAAGAAAATGCACAGCCAAGTGATCCTGGAGGAATGAGTGAATGGAAAAATAATGTATGTAAATTTAGATGGTTTGAGATCATTTTTATAAGACTTTTTGTCTTTGACATTAAGATGCTGAATTTAATATCTGGGCACTGGGAATCCTGCAGAGCTTTTTGAAGAGAAGGCTAAAAGTGAAAAATAAAACAAAAAACAATTTTGCTCTGCAGGGTCTACTGGCACTTTCTGGTTCCTTCTCACATTCCAATCTATGTCTGCCTTTGTATTCTGCAGACATCAGCATTTGGCACGATGCTGTCATCCAGTGACTTTGCATCTGCTTCCTGGGAGCTCGTGGTCCACGTTGACCATCCCGACATAGAGGAGCAGAAGGACATCACGCTGAGAGTGTCCGGAGACCTGCACGTTGGGGGGGTGATGCTCAAGTTAGTAGAACAGATCAGTAAGTTTCTCTTCCTTAATGGTTTCTCTGTATTTGAAACTCTTTCTGTTGCCTCACCACTAAATGGCTGGTCTAGGTTGTCTGATCATCTAGATTTTTCTGATCATGCATCTTGTAATGGTCCAGAGAGCAAGTCCCCCTCCTCTCCTAGGGTGGAGAGAGAAATAGGGGTCCTGGCAAGAACTTCAGACTGAATTCCAGCTACGCTTGTAAAAATTTGAGTCTTTGGTGGCAAACTAAAGTTCCCCAGCGGATATAATGCTGTACTGGCACAAGGATGGGACCCATCCATTGGTGACAACTACCTTTAGGTGACTTTAGGTGGTATGGCATTAGACTATGTGCCAATTCCCTGTGAATACTCAACTGGTCAGTGATAAAGTCAGCTTGGAGCCAACGTGTCTTCTAACACTTATCCACCATTTGCTACACTCCCTGTTTAAACAAAGAAAAAGAAGTCTTTAGGGTCAGATTCCTCACATCGGGAGTTAACACTATCAAATCTAGAATTTAATAACATTCCATTTTCTTTGTATTTATTTTACCTTCTACTGAGGCCTTGCATGCTGGCTTTTCATTTACTCTAGCGAGATAAAGGGTTTTTTAAGTGAGTCTTTATTGAAGTATAATATACATACCCAAACTGCACTTATCATGGGGGTACAGTTCAATGAACTCTCACAAAGCCATGTAACCACCACCCAGATCAAGAAATAGAACATTACCTATTTCCCACCCTAATCCCATACCTGACCCCGTCCAGTCGCTACTCTACCAAGGGTAGCCAGTACCCTTACTTCTAACGCCAGAGGAATAATTTGCTTGATTTTGAACTTGATATAAATGGATTTATACAGGATACACTCTGTCTTAGTCTGTTTGTATTGCTATAGAGGAACTCCCTGAGGCTGGGACATTTGTAAAGAAAAGAGGTTTATTTGGCTCACAGTTCTGCAGGCTGTCCAAGAAGCATGGTCCCAGGACCTGCTTCTGGTTAGGGCTTCAGGAAGCCTCCAGTCATGGTCAAAGGGAAAGAGAGCAACATTACGTGGCAAGAGGAAGGAAGCAAGAGAGAGAAGAGGAGGTGCAAGGCTCTTTTCAACGGAATGACACCAAGCCATTCATGAGGGATCCACTCCCATGACCTCAACACCTCCCACCAGGCCCTGTCTCCAACATTAAGGATCAAATTTCAATGTGAGATTTGGAGGGGACAAATATCCAAACTATAGCACATTCTTACGCATCTACTTTCTTTCACGCACTATACATTATTTCTGTGAGATTTATCCATATTGTTGCATATAGTTCTCATTCATTTATTTGCATTGCTGTATAATATTCCATTATAAGAATATGCCACAACATATTTATCCATTTATTTCTTGATGGACATTTGAGTTGTCTTCATTTTCAGGCTCTTACAGACAGGGCTGCTATAATATATGTCTTTTGGTGATCATTTCTATTGCATGTATAGCTCAGAAAGGAAATGCTAATTCATAGGGTTTTCCCAAACAGTTGTACCAATTTATACTTCTACTAACATCATTAAGCAAAACGTTGTCTAATTTAAAGAGAGAGAAACCATTTAAAAAGTAACAAGTAAATAAATACACCAGTGGCTCTTAATTTAGCAAAGTAAAAGATTGAATATTGACTCCAACGTGGATGAAAAGCAAAGATTCTATTTTCCTGCCAACATTGAAGGAGGGGAAAGATTAAATGTTGATGCTAACATTGAGAGGGGGAAAATATTTATTCTGATTTCAATGTTTGGGGATATGGTGGAACTGATAAGAGTTGTGCATTCCTGAGAAGAGTGAAATGTTGGTTTTATAGCACCTCTGTGTGGTCTTTGATTAGGAGCTATTGTTACTCCCTTGCGATACAGCATTGTAGAGATCCATTTTTATAAGAGAAATAATCTTGACTGAACAACATCAAATGCTTTTGACCTTCCCAAAAAGGCCCGTGGCATGGAGGGATTTTAAGGATGAGAACTTTAGCATTCCTCATGAACAAAAATTCCATGTTTCTGTTCCTCTACAGTATTTACTTGTAAATGATGGTACGTACGGTTCAGTCACTGTTTTCTCCTGCCCCCGCCTTGGAGACTTTGGAGAGAGGCCAAGAACTGTTGAGCCTCGAATTGGAAAAGGAGATGGGGGGCTGGAGACCAGTTGTTGGTTTCAGTTTTTGCACACAGTGAAACCAACCCCGGAACACCTGGACCCTCCACGCCGGGCTCTCTCTCATTTTACTTAACTACGTTTTCCTTTTCTGTAGACATATCCCAGGACTGGTCAGACTTTGCTCTTTGGTGGGAACAGAAGCACTGCTGGCTTCTGAAAACCCACTGGACCCTGGACAAGTATGGGGTCCAGGCAGATGCAAAGCTTCTCTTCACCCCTCAGCATAAAATGCTTCGCCTTCGCCTGCCGAACGTGAAGACGGTGAGATTGCGAGTCAGCTTCTCGGCTGTGGTTTTCAAAGCTGTCAGTGATATCTGCAAAACCCTGAGTGAGTACCCCGAAGACGCCCCTGTGCCCTTTGCACTCTTCCCAAAGGAAGACAGGAAAATTAGGTGCGAATTCTGCCTACCTCAGGCAATTGGCTAGAGAATGCTCCCTTGTTAGGACGCACGCTTTCCAGCCCAGGCCTGGGTGCTGCGGCCATGTAAGTGCAGTTAAACCAAATGGAACATTATTGGCATAAATCAGACTCGTTTCTACAAAGCTTAAAACTATTTCAAAAGAGATGTGTAAACGGACTAGACAAAGCATTAAGATTACCCCCCCAAAATTTATGTCTCCAAGCTATACTTAAATCATAATTATTATACAGTATTTAAGATAAACAAAAAAAGAGTTCCATTAAATCCTTCATCACCATAGAGCGGTGTCTTTACTGTTTTTGAGATAATGATGTCACAATGTCTTAACTGCTTCATTAACATCTGGCTCCAGTAAATAGCTCTGTCTACAAAAAGCACTTGCGAAGTTTAGTTTAAGGAGAAAAGTACATTTAATTGTGAATTGAAACCTAATTCTTTGTGGGTTGGTATCCTATAGTTTAACAGTCCCAAGAACAACACTACCCAAACCATTTCTTCATGAAGGTGTTCTCATCTTATATTTTTTGAAAATGTACATGTGTATTCTTTGGTTCCAAAGCCAAAAATAAGCATTTGAACACAGAATAGATAATATAGAAGTGAGTATCTTCCCCCCTAAAACTATAAACTGCTTCATTCACTCATTCAACAAATATTTATTGAGCATCTACTATGCGCCAGGCATTGTGGTGAGTGCTAAAGATACATTAAAAATAAAGATAGCTAAAATCCCTGCCTTCCTGGAGCTTATATTCTAGCAGGTAGAGACAGATAGTAACAATAAATATAATAAATAAGAAAAGAATATAGGCTGTTAAAGGGGGGTGGGTGGTACAGAAAAAGGGAAAATGTGTCAGCAGGATTGAGAATGGCAGCATTCGGCAGTGGAGGGGAGCGCTGGGGTGTGAAATAGGGTGAGAGCAGAAGCCACGTCCTGAGCATCTCTGTGTCCCTGACTCCTGTCACAATGCCTGGCCCACATTATCTGCTAATGACCGTTTGCTGAGTGAATAAATGAATGGAGCATAAATTGCAGCTATGTCCCTGATGCATGGTGGGCAAAGGGCAAGCACAAGGACACCTTTTTTCCAGTAATATTCTAGTGAGGATTTGAAAACAAAGTAATGATTAAATTAAATCATATATTCCACATGCCACAGTGGACTGGAAGCACACATCATAGCTGAGGCCAGGAACCTGACATTTCGAAATAAACAAAAGCGGTCAGATGTTTTCTTTTCCTGATTGTATCTTCATGGTAGTCGTGAGGGCTCCACTTGGCATTTCTAATCATTGCTTTTTATATCTGATCAACTGAAGTGAAATCAAATTTAGCAGTATAATGGCTTGTCCCTTGAAGCACAGAAAAGACACCAATCTTGGGCTTGGAGATACAGGTGTTCTATTTTTGTTTTTAGTGCTTACACTGGAACTTTTAGTTCACCACCAGCTTTTGTGTATAAATCCTGCATTTGGGATGGTCACTGGTGTGTGTTGCAACCTGACTGTCAGATATCTTCAGTTACTGGGAGAGAGTCGAGCTCGACTGCTGGGCTCGGTCTCGGCACTCAGCAGTGAGTGAACGAAGCCATAGGAGGGCCTCATGGAATCAGTGCACTTACCTCCAGCAAAGCTGCCCGGGCCCTGAGACACCCACATGCCTTTGCTTTTTCCTGGGATGATAGCTGCTCAGTGCAGTTATGTTTATCTGCAGTTCTGATCAGCAACTGCAAATATATTTGATTAATGGGGATTATCATAGCTTGGGTTTCCAGAGGCAAACCCTGAGATTAGGATTCAAGTACAAATAGTTTATTTGGGAGGTGACGCCAGGAAACACTGATGGAGACGGGGAAATGAGACTGGGAAGAGAAGGCCACCAATAAGAGAGTGTCACCAACCAAGTCACACTTCAGCAGCTGGGGACCTCTGGGAGACGGTATAGACACAGTCTCGGGACAAGGGTGTATAAACACCACCTTCATCAGTCTCTGAGGGCTGCTCTTAGGGAGCATTAATTCCCCTGGATGTGTGGACTGCTGTGTGGGTGTGTGGGCAGCACAGACCCCGGCCGGCTGGCAGAGCCTCTGGCAGAGAGACACGTGTTCTAGATGCCACCGGAAGCCAGGCCAGCATGTGCTGAAATGGAGAGGGCCAAGGTGAGATGGGCAGGGCGTCAGGACGTCTGCCACAGGATGAGGGGAGCTGCGGGGCACTGCGTGAGAGAAGGACTTTCAGGATCTCTGGTCCTTAAAGAAAAAGGGGAGGAGCCCTTGGTGGTTGTTTAAAAAACTAAAAAAAGAAAAGACAAAGAGAGGAAAGGAGAGAGGAGGGAGAAGAAGGAAGGAAAGTAGGAAAGATGAAAGGAAGGGAGGGAGATAAGAAAAAGTTGATGGTAAACAGGTGAGAAGAATAGCAAAGTACTAATAGTGGTTGAAGCCCAGTGGGCAGCGCGTGAAAGGAATATTATACTATTCCCTTTGCTTTAGCTGTGTTTGAAACAGTTGCGTAATACATTTTTTTAAATAAACTAGAAATTTTACTAGACTATATCTCCCTCCACTATTTATTTCCCCCACTCACTTTGGGGGGGTCTCTCCTCCCCCTTTGATTTCTTCAAAAGGGTTGCAATTTAGTTTCATTTACTTCTCAGGCATTTCCTGAGAAATGGTTTCAAATGCGCAAAATGATGCTCAGCCTTTGAGGAATTTTCTTTTGACTTTTATTTTTTTCTTTTTGTTACTTGTTATTTTATTTTATTTCTAGATATTAGAAGATCAGAAGAACTTTCCTTATTAAAGCCTTCTGGTGACTATTTTAAGAAGAAGAAGAAAAAAGACAAAAATAATAAGGAACCCATAACTGAAGATATTCTAAACCTGGAGTGTTCTCCAACGGTTGCAGGTCCACCAGGTCAGATTTGTGACAGGTGTTTTGTTGTATTCATGTGTGAATGTAGAGCAAATCCCAAGAGAAAAATATGCTTCTCTCCGCCCCCTTCCAAACAGAGGAGGAATAAAATTGCAAGATTGATGTGATGAGGAAAAGATATGCAGTTAAGTTTAGAACTAACAGAAATTTATTTCAGACTTTTTCCAACAGGTACGCGTAATAACTCATTATTTTAATTGTGTATCTTACGTTGCTGATGAATGCAAAATCTTAGTACAACTGACCATGAACTGGGGATAAAAGGATAAAAGAGTGATATTTAGAAAAAAGATCAGTTAAATCAGGCCAGGTGCGGTGGTTCACGCCTATAATCCTAACACTTTGGGAGGCTGAGGTAGGAGGATCGCTTGAGCTCAGGAGTTCAAGACCAGCCTGAGCAAGAGTGACACCCCATCTCTACTAAAAATAGTAAAAATTAGCTGGGTGTGGTGATGCACACCTGTAGTCTCAGCTACTCGGGAGGCTGAGGCGAGAGGATCACTTGAGCCCAGGAATTTGAGGTTGCTGTGAGCTAGGCTGACACCACGGCACCCTAGCCCAGGCGACACAGTGAGATTCTGTCTCAAAAAAAAAGGTAAGTTAAATCACTCAAATATCCTTCCCTCTTCTTGAGTCTATCTTTGTGTGATTCTTTCCTGAATTCAATTTTTCATGGGGCATGCAAGAGGAGGGCAGGTAAAAATTCTGGAGAAGTATTAAATATCATCCTTTTCTTTTTATATCAAAATAATCAAATCTCTAGCTTGCTTGCAAGATTGAGGACTTTCTTGCGTAGTATATTCCAATGCAAAGAACAAAAGGGGTATTTGTACTTTCCTTATGCAAATTAGAACCAGATGATTTAAAAATCATCCATCTACTGGATTTTTAAAATCAGTGAATGCTGCTAGTTGCTTACGGAGCTACCTGAAACGTGTTGTGTACATGCATTCTGTGAGGTCTCCGGGTCTCTAATAGTACCAGGACTCCTGCTGACATAGGAAGACTTAGAATTGTCAGAAAAGAGGTGGTCCCCAACATTTGTCTTGTTGATTTTTGGAAGTTTTTACATATCTGAGTTCTTGAGCTTTCCAGGAGCTGAATATACAGATAAGACCTTTACCTGTGTATCACTAATCTCTCCACCATCGTGACTCATATTATTTTATTTTTTTTCCATGTCTTTGCTCTTTTTTTTATTGCAGAATATTACGGGGGAACAAACGTTTTGGTTACATGAATTACTTTTGTACAGTTTGAGTCAAAGTTATAAGTGTGTCCATCACCCAGATAGTGTGCATTGTACCCGTTGGGTATGAATTTACCCATCTGCTCTTCCCCCTGACTCATGTTCTTTTAAATGGTGCAAACATTTAAAGTCAAAATTCATTTGAGTATAAGTAATGTTAGTATTTTTCTAAAGATTTCTGCTCTCCAAATCTCATATCACAGTGCGTGCCCGCCTTGCCTTACAGTAAGTCCTGGCTTGTACAGTAAAACCATGACTCCTATATACGACCCCATCAATGGAACGCCAGCGTCATCCACTATGACTTGGTTCAGTGACAGCCCTTTGACGGAACAGAACTGCAGCGTCCTCGCATTTAGCCAGCCTCCCCAGTCGCCAGAGGCGCTTGCTGATATGTACCAGCCTCGGTCTCTGGTTGATAAAGCCAAGCTTAATGCAGGGTAAGGATGCGGCTCCTTTTGCCTCACTTGGAACTGGTGCTGACGCAGGAAGAGAGACGGGGGTGGGAGCGTTTATTTGTCAGGTCAGTAGGCCCAGGGGCCGTACTTTATTAGCAAAAGTCAGCTCTGATTTTTGCAACAGAGGGGGAAAATGCAGGCTCTGGTCATCTCGGTACCTTTAAAGCATGACAAAATGTACGCATTTGGGTAACTCAATGGACGACCATCTGTGTATACTCATTCTTTGCCACTACAGGTGTGCAAAGCGTATTTTATGGGATGTAGAGTGGTTTGTAAGTATGTTGGTCCCCCTGGGTCAGCGGGGAAGATCCAGGGTGGCCCACCTGGCTCACATCGTCTCTTGTGGAACACCCTTTCTCTCTTTAGGCGTTCTGATGAGCAAGTCCTTGAGCTGTGTTTGACATGGTCTCAGAAAATGTGCCCAAACTGTTGCTCAAACTGCCATATTTTTTGTTCCCCCTTGCTCACCAAATAAAGTCCCTTTACGACCTGGTCCCAGCGGATGTCTCTGCATCCTACCATGCTCTCCTGTCCCCCAACCTGCCCAGGTGCACACGCACTCTTTCCGTCACTGCCTCCTCTCCAGGACCATCTCCTTTGCCTGCTGGTCAGTCCCTCCTTGTCCTTTCAGGCCCAGCCACATGCTGCCTCCTTCTCAAGTATCGCTGTTCAGAATCGGTCACTCCCCTGCGGTTCTGTTCCACCATTTTGCTTACTCCAATGCCACATTGTCCCTTTATTATGAGGCTTGGTCTCTCCCCACTGGATTGTCAACTCCTCCAGGATGGCAGTTATGTCTCGTCATCCTTGTTCCCTCACAGGGCCTAATATAGTGGAAGTTCAAGCCATCTTTATTCAATGATACTGGGTGACACTCATCCCCTTCTTATTTTGCTGTTAACTTTTAATCTCCAGCCCCGCTGCCCTCACTGTTACTCAGTTTTTATTTCTCAATTCTAGAACTGTACTCTCCAACACAGGAACCACTGGCCACATGTGATATTTAAATTTAAAATTTGAATTTAAATACATAAAATTAAAATGCAGTGCTAACCACCTTTAAATATCCAGCAGCCACAGGTGGCTAAGGGCTCACGTATTAGCACAGATATGAATATTTCCCTCACTGCAGAAAGTTCTAGGCAATAAGGTAGAGCTGGCTTTGGGGAGAGCCACCTGGCACAGTGGAGAGGCAGTGCACATAGTCGGGAGGTCTTGCATGCTGGCTTTGCCACCAGGCCTGTGACCTTGAAAGGATCATCTAATGTCACTGAGACGAAGTTTCCTAATCTATAAAACCGAGATAATAAGAACTTCCCTGGCTCCTTCTTTGGGTTACTTTAAAGTGTCACTGAGAAAAAATCTATAAAGCACTTTGAAAACTCTAAGATAGAATGCAAATATAAGCTATTATGTGCTTACTGGTTTGGGATTATATAGGTCGAATATCCCTTATCCAAAATGCTTGGGACCAGAAGTATTTTGGATTTCATATTTTTTCAAAATTTTTCCAGATTTTAGAATATGTGCATTACACTCACTGATTAAGCATCCCTAATCTGAAAAATATGAAATTCAAAATGCTTCAATGAGAAGTTCCTTTGAGCATTCATGTCAGTGCTCAAAAAGTTTCAGATGTTGGAGCATTTTGGATTTCAGATTTTCAGATTAGGGATACTCAGTCTGTATTATCTACTATGACTTTGTTCAAGGATATAAATTATATGTAATACATAATATATAACATAATATGATGGACATATGTGGAAAATGGATTGGCTGTTAAAACTCATCCTGTTGTTTTCTAGTTGGCTGGATTCCTCACGCTCCCTTATGGAACAAGGCATCCAAGAGGATGAGCAAGTGCTGTTACGATTTAAATACTACACTTTCTTTGACTTGAATCCTAAAGTAAGAAACTTTTTCTGTTTCTCTCTCCAGTGAATGCATGGAAATGTAAACTTGAGTCATTGGTTATCAAGACTAGGATTAATTTACGCGATCTTGAGTTTTGCTCTGCAGGGTTAGACTGATACATGTATACTCGTCTCGGAATTTTCATTTTTTATTTATTTATTTTTTTTCTGAGACAGAGTCTCACTCTGTTGCCTGAGCTAGAGTCCTGTGGCATCAGCCTAGCTCAAAGCAACCTCAAAATCCTAGGCTCAAGTGATCCTCCTGCCTCAGCCTCCTGAGTAGCTGGGACTACAAGCATGTGCCACCATGCCCAGCTAATTTTTTCTATTTTTAGTTGTCCAGCTAATTTCTTTCTATTTTTACTAGAGACGGGGTCTCACTCTTGCTCAGGCTGGTCTTGAACTCCTGACCTTGAGTGATCCTCCCACCTCGGCCTCCCAGAGTGCTAGGATTACAGGCGTGAGCCACCGCGCCCGCCCTTGTCTCTGAATTTTTATCTATTGGTTTCTAATGAGCAAAGATTAGCAGGGGTCTCTATGGGGCTTTGTGCCCAGCACGGCGTGCACTGCCCCTCTGCATTTGTAGGAATGAAGAAATGTGAAGAGAGCAGCTCACAGAGCTGGAGTCCTTAATGCTTAGGAAGGAAAGGAATTGTGTTATCTATTCAAATTTGTGCCCTATCTGTTATTTATTTATTATATTAAGCAACTACCATATGCCAGGAACTAAGCCAGGTACTGAAAACCCCAACTGTCGTCTATTAATGTTCTCAAATGAAATAAAATACACAGGACTACAAAATGAAGCAGTTATGTTGAACTCTAGTAACCAAAATCTTTTTCAAAATGGATATAGTAATATAGTAACATATTTTTAGTTAATTGAATGAATAAGACCTGGTGGCAGCCTCATAACCACCATGATTTCAAAGTAGTGACATGTGTGGGCATTACTTGATGACAGCAACAATAACGGTGGTACAGCAGGAAAAGTTTGTGATTCTGGTGATCACAAAGGGACAAGTACTCTGCAGTACCGTGGTTCATTGCCTGCATTCATCATGGGAGGAAAAGAAATTTCCATGAGAGGTGGGGGCAGGTGAAGATGTAGTGTTTCCTCTTCTGAGCTTGTGGACCACCTGTATTGAAACTCCCAAGTCCAAGGACCCCAGATTTAGAACCGCTGTGCCAAGACCACATTCAAGCCCTACTCCTTCCAGAGAAGAGCTTTTCCCTACTCTGGGTCACATGAGCCATTCCCTTCTTAGAGCCACAACTAAGTACTGCACAATTTCAGGACTGACACCTCTAATCACACTGTATCTGTGGGTTTTTCCCAACAAATAGACATGAAGTCCTTGGGAACAGAGAACACATATCTGGTACTTCTTTTGCCTTCCCCTCCCCGCTCCCACATGCTGCAAAGATGCTGCGAAAGTCAGACTTACCCAATTCAAGCACCTGAGCAATGGTAGAGTCACCCGGCCCTTGGGGAGCCTTCCAGCAATTTCCATGCTAAGCGATTCCCCATTAAATCCCCTGTTTCAGAATTGACCTTAAGCTTAAAAGAAGGCAGCTCAGTCATCTACTTCTGAAAAAATTGTCAGGAACACAGAAGTGACTTCACAGTCACAGAATCCAGACATGGCAGGTCATCAGAATAAATATCAAACTGGGAGGAAATATGCATTTGTCTAAAAAGTAGAAGAAATCAAAGGAATTGTACTCCCAGGAGGGGACAAGGACACTGAAGGTGAGGGTCACAAGGGCTGTTATCTTAGGCTCTTTGGCCTCCAGCCTCTGCTTGCCTATGGGATGAGGAGTTCCCTCTTCATAGCCTGTAAAGTGAACCTTGTTTGAATCTAACAGCCAAATGGCAGCTGTCAACCCCAAAGGTTACAGGAAGAATTAGGCTAGCAGGACACAGTTTAGGGGCAGAGAATGGGGATCCTCAACCACTTTAGAGTTGTGGTGGTACCCCCTCTCTCCCCTCTTCAAATTACAAGTGCTATAAATAAAACCAAGTTTAAGACTCCTACTATATGTTGAGTAGATATAGGGGATATAAAAAAAAGATGCAGCTAATGTTTCCATAATGTAAAATCAAATCAAGAAGAGCAAAGAGGTCAGTCACAGTGTCTTATGCCTGTAATCCCAGTACTTTGGGAGGCCGAGGTGGGAGGATTGCTTGAAGCCAAGAGTTCAAGACCAGTCTGGGCAATATAGCAAGATCCTATCTCTACAAAAAAAATGGAAAACTTTAGCCAGGAATTTAAGGCTCCAGTGAGCTATGATCATGCCACTGCACTCCAGCCTGGGCAACAGAGCAAAACCTTGTCTCAAAAACAACAACAACAAAAAAGAGCAAAAGATAGCACCCAGGAAACTACTGCAAACATAAAAGGCACCTTAAAAATAGAAGCTAAATTCTACAGTGAGAACTGGGAAGCTTCTCTGGCTTGCAGAGGAGAGATATGTACAAGCCATAGGTCTGAAGTAATAGGTGCTAATTAAAATCTCAGATATATAAAATACTAGAACACAATATCTCAAAAATAATATATTCAAAAAATGCAGGCCAGGCACAGTGGCTCACGGCTGTAATCCTAGCACTCTGGGAGGCCCAGGTGGGAGGATTGCTTGAGCTCAGGAATTCGAGACCACCCTGAGCAAGAGCAAGACCCAATCTCTACTAAAAATAGAAAGAAATTAGCCAAACAACTAAAAATAGAAAAATTAGCCGGGCATGGTGGCGCGTGCCTGTAGCCCCAGCTGCTCAGGAGGCTGAAGCAGGAGGATCACTTGAGCCCAGGAGTTTGAGGTTACTGTGAGCTAGGCTGATGCCATGGCACTCTAGCCCAGGCAAGAGAGTTAAGACTCTGTCTCAAAAAAAAAAAAAAAAAAAAAAATGAAAAAAGAAAAAAAGAGGAAAAAAAATGCAAAAGCCAGAATCCATAAAAGAAAAGATTGGTAGATTTTATTTAAAAATAAAAATTTTAATCATGCCAAAAAACTATAAACAAAATAAAAAAGTCCTTGCAACACATACTACAAACAAAAGACTAACTCCCCTAATATATAAAGCGTCTCTATGGAGCAATAATAAAAAGACCAACAACCCAGTAGACTAATGGACACAAGGATATAAACACATACATAGTGCATAGAAAAGGAACTACAATGGCTTGTAGTGCAAAGGTTAAAAAGTCTCCCGTGCTATCTTAGCAAAAATGTGGGGAAACAGGTTCTCTCATACACTACTTGTAGGTCAAAGTACAAATTAATCTAGCCTCTATGGAAGGCAATTTGGCAGTGTCTATCAGAATGACAATTCTACACAACTTTGACCCAGCAAATCCACTCCTAGGTATTTATACCACAGTGATACTCACACATGCAAATTGATACGTGTACATAAGGACCAGGATTACTATGAAACATTATTTGTTTTAGGAAAACATTAGAAACCACCTAAATGTCCATCAGTAGGGAACTGGTGAAATACATTATGATACATTCATACCATGCTGTTGTTAAAAAAAAAAAATATATCAGCTCTCTTTTGATATGGAACATACTGAAGGTACATTATTATTTTTTATGAACCTGACATTACAAACATATCGAGGTACATTATTAAATGAACAGAGTAAAATGCAAAACAGTCCATAGAGAAACTACTATTTGTGGTAGACAAGGAAGGGAGGGAGGCTAACTTTTTATTGAATATCTTATCCCTTTTGACTTCATCAAAATGAATTCGTTCACTGTATACACTTTTGCCCCTTTAAATGTGTTTGAAGTGTGTGAATTGAAAAAAAACTCTTTATAACTTTGATAGTTCATAGCATTTTAATGTTGAGTAGAGAAAAACACATCAGTTTTAACAAGAGACCTGGAGGATATTGAAAGCTGTTACCAGGCCAACAGGGAATCTTGGTGAGTGGAGCTAACTAGTAACTCTTTCTTAACAGTGTGAAAACTATGATCGGTAGGTTTCCTTATTTGTTTGTATTGCTGGTTGGTAGAAATATCTAGTTATGACATCTTATTCTACATCCTATTTTTCTCTTAATGTTAATTTCTAAATGTAGGTAACTTTTATTTAACTAATATTCTTTCAAAAAATTGTTTCATTTGTGGGGGAGGATAAGGATATTCAAGTGTGGAAGATTTTTTTTTTTCTTTTTCTTTCTTTTTTTTTTATTTCAGCATATTATGGGGGTACAGATGTTTAGGTTACATGTGTTGCCAAGTGTGGAAGATTTTATTAAATTTTTCAAATCTGTCTAGGTGCAGTGGCTCATGCCTATAATTCTAGCACTTTCAGAGGCCAAGGTGAGAGGATTGCTTGAGGTCAGGAGTTCAAGACCAGCCTAAGCAGCACAGCGAGATCCTGTCTCCACAAAAAAATAGAAAAAGTAGAGGGGCATGGTGGCGCATGCCTGTAGTCCCAGCTACTCAGGAGGCTGAGGCAGGAAAATTGCTTGAGCCTAGGAGTTTGAGGTTGCAGTGAGCTATGATCATGCCATTGCCCTCATATCTGGGCAACAAAGTGAGACCCTGTCTCTAAAAAAAAAAAAAAATTAAATCTTTATTAACTGCATTTGAGAGAAGTCTTGTTGAGTAACTTAACTTACTCCCAACAAGACACCTACAGTATTAGAATTGTAAACACTGGAACTGAGTGACAGACACACAGACTGCTAGATACAAGTTTGTTAATCCAATGCAAATTTATTTTTCTTTTTTCTTTTTTTTTTTTTGAGACAGAGTCTCACTCTCTTGCTTGGGCTTGAGTGCCGTGGCGTCAGCCTAGCTCACAGCAACCTCAAACTCCCGGGCCCAAGTGATCCTTCTGCCTCAGCTTCCCGAGTAGCTGGGACTACAGGCGTGAGCCACCCATGCCAGGCTAATTTTTTGTTTCTATTTTTAGTTGTGTGGCTAATTTTTTTTCTATTTTTAGTAGAGATGGGGTCTCGCTCTTGCTCAGGCTGGTCTCGAACTCCTGAGCTCAAGCTATCCTCCCGCCTCGGCCTCCCAGATCAATTCAAATTTCAGTGGCTGCACACACTCACACACTATTTAGATTTGATGTGTAAACTGTGAATTAAATCAGGGGTCTTTGGGGGGAAGGGTGGCCGCATGTTTCTTTGGGGTGCATTACGTGTGTGGTTTTTTGAGTTGTCATGTCTCGGTTGCACTATAATGTACACACCATAAAATTCGCCCGTTGTAAGTGTCCACTATAGTGATTTTTAGTATATTTATACAGGTATGCCACCATGACCACAATCCAGTTTTTAAAAACTTCCATCACCCAAAGAAGTTAGTGAGACATGTTCCCTTCAGTTACCTGAACTGAAGCTTATTGCATCCGATTAACAGAGAATGGTCTCAGTTATTCCAGAATTTTTGTACTGTGGAATGTAATATACTCCTCCCCACATGTACACACATATCTGTTTTTTTCTCTAGTATGATGCTGTCCGGATAAACCAACTCTATGAACAAGCCAGGTGGGCCATTCTCTTAGAAGAAATCGACTGCACAGAGGAAGAAATGTTGATCTTTGCAGCACTACAGGTATGGTAACTTTAGTACCTTTTCTCTGGAAGGAGATGAACCAAGTTTGTTATGCTTAAAGTTTTGTATTCTACATACTGCTTTTTTTTTTTTTCTTTGAAGAAAGAGCTGAAAATAAGGGGAGTGAATTTAAATTTAAATTGCTCCTCATGATCCACACATGTGCACATTTTACCTAAGGCATTTAGTCTTGCAATTTTTATCTCTTCCCTGCTACAATCAGTGATGGGGAAGAACCAGGTGTGAACACGACTTACCGTAAATCTCAGAATGATTCAGATTAAAATGTCATTTTCCATGCACAGGAGGGAGCTCTCTTTTCAGGAGATGTTCAGTATTCCAAGGGAATTGTCTTCAATAAAGAAATGGCTAATGGGTTAGTTTGTGTTTACAAAATATCTTAAAAGCTCTGTTTTCATTTTAGTATCACATTAGCAAACTGTCGCTGTCCGCTGAAATACAGGATTTTACCAATGAGTCCGAGGTCGATGAAGTGGAAGCAGCGCTTTCTAATTTGGAAGTGACTCTAGAAGGTGGAAAAGCAGACAACACGTTGGTAGGAACTTTTCTGATAACCCAGAGGTGTGGCTTTGTTCTAACTGATTGACTATAAATATAGATGGACCTCTCTTTATTAGAAATAAGAGAATATTTCATCTCATTTTGAAAACAGAAAAGATGCTCTTCACCTCACAAGCTTCAGCTTAGCAAGAACTAACCAGCTTTTCTGAGATTAGCTCTGAAAGGGGTTATATTTCATTTCTACTACTCTTCGGGATAAGTTGGCACGGTGTAAGGGAAAGATTGCAGAGGGCTCCACTTCACTGGCTTGGAACATGAAATTGGTCCCTTAAGTCTAGAAAGAAACATTCCATCTATTGCCTGGGTCAGCTGTGAGAATAGAGAAAATGCTTTACATATCTAACATCTTGTTATCTATTTACGTTGTCATGTGTTTTCACTGGGCAAGCTTGGAAGAAGTGAGGACTTTTGCTGGGACATTGTAAAAAGTTCCTGAGCCCTTTGGACTTCAGGAAATAAACAAAAACCCTCCAGTAAAACATACAGAAATAAAACTGTTTTATCATCTCTTGCTCCTGATCCATGAAATATGGCTGAATGTCAGGTTTATAATGGGAATGCCTCTCCTGTTTAATTCACTCATTGGGTGCCACCCTTTTGTTTAAGTTCTTCAATCATGGGAGTCATTATTAGTTTGATCACATTGAATCAGAGAGGTGGGTCCATCATAATTGGATCTGAAGTAATAATGGATAAGAGTGAGCCACTCTATTCTTAGGAATTCATTGTGTGTTCTCTTATCATTACATGGTGTAAAATAGGAAATTGGTATCGTGCAAGAGCAAATACTTAATACAAACTAAATACCAAGATTCTGCAGAGATAACCCTTGGGCCCCAAGAAATTGGAGTTCTCTTGTGTCTACTTTCCGCATTGAATAAATACAAAAGGAAAGTGATTCTTCTTAAAATAAATGAAAAATTCCCTCCTCCCTCCTTCAATACTTTTATGTGGCACTAACTAAACAATAGGCTTTCAGTTTGAAAACAGGCACCAACCTGCACTGCAGAATGAACTTTGGACCAGGTTCCTTTTGAAAGCTTAATCAGTGACCTAGGTTGAGCTAGAGCTACCCACTCCAATGTAAAAATCATAAAATATTTTGTTTCTACGTAAAAGTGGTCATTTCTAACCCAAACATTTAACGTGAATGGTAGGTACAAGGAGTGCTTGGTCAATTTTTTTAATCGCTTTTTTGTATTTTTATGATCTATGATACATACAGAAAAGTGAAAAACACATAAATGTACAGCTTAACAAATTGGTATTCAGTTGTCACCCAAGTCCCCACCCAAATCAAGAACTAGCACTTTGTCAGCCACCTCGGGAGCCCCTGCACGTACCCCATTCCCCCCACCACCAGAAGGCAACTATAGGAAATGTGGCTAATGTAACTAAGTAACTGAGTTTTTCATTTTATTTAATTTTAACTAGTTCACATTTAAATAGCCACACACAGCGGTGTGTGTTTAGCGTGCAAGTTTAGCGTAGTGGTACCACTTACGAAGTTCCTGTTTATGAAATGTTATCTGTTTTTCCTTAGGAGGACATTACTGATATCCCTAAGCTTGCAGATAACCTCAGGTTATTTAGGTAAGTAACTTTTAAGGAGAGAAGCAGTTACTCATAACAAAGCCCTTCAGATAAAATATACAGGGGTTTGAGTTGCACATTCAAGAGGCAGGTAAGAGCATGGCTTTGGCATCAGACAAACAATGGGTTGGATCTTAGCTGCACCACACACACACTAGCCGGGTAAGCTTGGGCAATGTTTTACATCTCTGAGCTTCGGTTTTCCAATCTGTAAAGTGGGAATATACCTTCTCTTGGGTTTGTTGGGAGGATTAGGTAAAATAATGCATATGAAGCATTTAGCATGTTGTCTGGCTCATAGTACATGCTCAATAAATGGTGATGTACACATGGCCAGTATCTGCAACAATAAACATATATATCTTCCAGCCTGGAGTTTCTATTAGGGTCCATCTGGGAGGTTCAGGACTCTGACACGATTGGAAGGCTTTTCTATATTATAGTTTAAAAATGACTTGTCTCCAGAACTTTGATCGTAGGTTTATAGAGACTAGTCATTTTAGTTTATCTACTTTCGCCTGTTTAAGTGCTTCTGATAAATGCCCTAGTCACCTCAGATTGACCTAATACATCAGAGAATGGTTTATTCCCTCGGAAAGAAAGAACTGCCACCTCTCTGATGGTGCCAAGGTGTGTTAGGATGAAAGAAACAAAGCTCTTTGAAGTTCTCTCAATTCCTCATGTCACTTTATAGTTTGTTGACTTTTCTTAACAAACCAACACTTCACTGGGGCAGTTGGCTTTAAAAGAAACACAGGTTGCCTTTGATAACACATGATGCAAAGAAAGACCTGGAATGAATGAACAACAAATCAGGTATAAATGAGAAACAAGCATCCAAAGGTAGCAATAGCTGTCACTGGGTTCCTATGAGTTTGCTTTTGCTTTTTTTTTAATGTGATTGTGGGATGTGCTCTCAAACAATAGAGTCATTCATTTAACTTCTGTGTTATAAATAATTGTAACCACAATTGACTCATATCATTGTAGTCAGAGCTACAGAAAAAAAGTAACAATTGAATCCACAAATATATCTTTATGAAGTATTCATAATTGTTCTACAAAGAAATTGGGTTTCCATCTTCTCTGTATGGAGCAAATCAAGCTCTTCATAAACCAAACAGTGACATCTTCCTGTAGATGTTGTCGATGAAGGAGGTACATCACTTATGCTTCTCTGAGTTTTTATAGGCTTTTGGTGTGACTGTTATATTCAGACTCACAAAATTGTCCTCACATTTGGCCAACAGACCCTTTATCTACCAAAAGTCTCAAGCTGTTGAATCTAATATAGAATATAGTTTATGCAAGGAGGAAACAAAGAAAGGAAGGAGAGAGAGAAAGAAAGAGTCGGAGGGGGAAGGGAGCAAGATTGGAGAGTAGAGCTCCGTTCCTCGTTGAGGTGTGGCCTCTAACAGGCCCTTCGTTTCCCTGGGCCTTCTTTCCTCATCAGTATAAGAGCCTTGGACTAGTTCTTTGATTTTTAAGTTTTTTCTTTTACAGTGAAGCTCTTTTCTAAACAAAATCTATTAAACCTACCATATAAATAGTGGACTTCAGTTTCTAGTAGCATAGCATCGACTCTAATGGCAGCCACAATCTTGCTATAAATACATATGAATGCTGGATAAAATTAAAATAAAAGAATTATAAATACAAAATTGATTATGAAGTGAAGCAGAAATTCCAACTTGCAGGAAATAGAGAGGGAACCTAGTTCTACAAAGGAAGCCTCAGCTGCAAGGGGGATTTGGGACATGGACATAGGTTCTCATGGCTTGAGGCCGGGATGTTAATTCCCGTGTAGCGATGGGAGATGCAGCGTTAAAGCCTGTGTAACGCAGTAAGCCAGGACTGAAGTACCTGCCTGAAGGTGAAAACTTGCAAGCATTGCCTTCTCTGTTTAATGGGAAGTAGAAAAACTACCTATCGGCAAGAGAAAGCAATAAGGAAGTTCACCTTTTCATGGGGTTCTGTGGGGAAATAAAAATTCTCTCCTGAGAGATCAGAGGCAAGGCTGTGCCACACACAGATGTGGATATGAATTTAAATGTCTTATGTGAGATGGGAATCCTAACAAAGTGAAATAGAAATTGGTCCAGGACCACAAAACCTAGGAAACCCTGGCAAATGTAGTTGTAAAATTACTTAGCAGGAAATATCCACAACCAAGAATGCATGGGCCTTTTATGGAAAACAATAACAACCTAAAAAAACATGAGCTCCCAATAAAAATTACTAACCATTGGAAGTTAATGAACCACAGAAGGGATGTAGACCCAACAAGCAACAGGATTAGCAGTTTCGTTAACTTTAGGTAATCATATAATCTGAAGAAACCATAAGTATGTTTAGAATCATTAAATTCAAAAGTAAAAATTATAATAAAAGAGAATGGGCAATATATTGAAAATGAACCAAATTGAAATTCTAGAAGTAAAAAATATGGTCAAAGAAATTTAAAACTTATTAGGTGTATTAAACATCAAGTTAAAAAAACACAGTTGAAGAGAAAACGCAAAAAGATAGAAATGAAAAATGTGACCTAGATGGAATGCAAAGGGCCAACCTATATCTACTAGGAGTTCCAGAGGAAAACCTTCAGAAGATAATGCTTGACAATTTTCCACAACTGTTGGAGACAAAAATCCTTAAATTCAAGAATCACTAATCTCAAGGAAAATAAATCAGTATAAATGCACATCTTGATAAGGCCAACCATTGATAAGAGAAAGTCTTTAAAATCAAAGGGAAAAAAAGAGATTTCCTACAGAGGAGCGACAGGTGGGAAGCAGTCATCTCATTGGCAACAAATACAGCCTGGAAAATGATACAGAAAATGCTAAGAGAAACATCAATCTAGAAATTTATGCCTAATCAGTCTTCCAAGAGTCTACTTGTTGGAAATCCCTGAGTATAAACCAGAGAAGATACAATCCTACCAGTAAATTACATATTTAACATAAACAATGATTTATGCCAAAACTACAAGGCGTACTCACTGTTGGATGACTTACACAGTGTGCTACAAGAGTTACCAGGGTGACATTTTATAAAAACAAGACTTTTAAAATATAGAAGAATCTTTATAATACTTCATAGAGAGATGGCAAGTAATCATGAAAATTTTTGGTCCCACAGTAAGACTCACTGGTTTTCACATGGAAAAGTACCTATAAGTAGAGTTACGCATTTTTGTTTTTTCAAAAAATAATTGCTCCAACATGGATGGAACTGGAGGACATTATGTTAAGTGAAACAAGCAAGGAATATAAAGTTTCCACCACATGTTCTCACTCATATGTGGAATCTAAAAAAAGATATCATAGAAGTAAAAAGGAGAACAGAGGATATTAGAGTCTGGGAAGAGTAGGAGGAAGGGAGAGATTGGGAGAGATTTGATAAAGGATTACAGCTAAATAGGAGGAATAAATTCTGGTGTTCTATACCACTTCAGGATGACTATAGTTAATAATAATATATCTTTTCAAATAGCTAAAAGGAGGATATTGAACATTCCCAACACAAAGAAATGATAAATGTTTGAGATGATGGATATGCTAATTACCTGATCATGAGTGCGAGGCTGTAGTAAGCTATGATCGGGGCCACTGCACTCCATCCTGGGTGACAGAGGAAGACCTTCTTGTCTCAAAAAAAAAGTCTTTTAAGAATGGGTTGGGTCAAATGCCTTTTTAAAAAAAAATGAAAGAAAATAAAATTTAAAAATAGGGCCTGGTGAGATTACTCACTTACATCTGTAATCCTAACACTTTAGGAGGCTAAGGCAGGAGGATCACTTGAGGCTAGGAGTTCTAGACCAGCCTGGACAATATAGCAAGAACCCCTCTCTACAAAAAATAAAAAAATTAGCCTGGCATGGTGGCAAATGCCTGTAGTCCCAGCTCCTGGGGAGGCTGAGGTGGGAGGATCACTTGAGCCCTGGAGTTTGAGGTTACTGTGTGGTATGATCATGTCACTGCACCCCAGCCTGGGCAATAGAGTGAGACCCTATCTCAAAAAAAAAAAAAAAAAGAAAGAAAGAAACTTAACTTTAGAGGCATTTTTAAAAAATAAATGTTCTAAATTTATGACCTTTCTGTGGTGACAAGTGGCCATCAGTAGTAAGCCCCCAGATGTTTGCAAAATAATAAACATATTTAATCTCTCCTTTAAGGAAAAGGTGATTGTAAAATAAGTGAGAACATAATCGGTTTTTGAAAGATATTAATGCTGTAAAGAGAGCCTTTTGAAAACAGTTATTTGGAAATATTTACAAGGTTACATCATTGCCAATAATAATACTGTCTATTAAAAAGACAAATACTGTATGATCTCACTTACATGTGGCATCTGACATAGTCAAACTCATAGCATTAGAGAGTAGAATGGTGGATGCCAGGGGCTGGGGAGAAGGGAAAGTGGGGAGATGATGGTTAAAGATATAAAGTTTCAGTAATGCAAGATAAATAAGTTCTGAAGATCTACTATACAACATAGGACAATGTGCTAAGAAGGTAGATCTTTAAGTGTTCTTACCACAAAAAAATTAAAAACAATAATAGAAATAAAGAGAGCAGGAGGAAAGTTTGGGAGGTGACGACTATGTCTGTGGCTTTGATATTAGTGATGGCTTCGTGGGTATATAGTTATCCCCAGACTCGTCAAGATTTATACATAAAATATGTATATGTAAAATATGGCTCTTTATATGCCAGTTGTGCCTCAATTAAGTGGTTTTTTAAAAAGCAATATTATGCTAGGTACAGTGGTACACGCCTCTGTAGTCCCAGCTACTCGAGAGGATGCTTGAGCTCAGGAGTTCAAGGCCAGCCTGGGAAACACAGCAGGACCCCGTCTCTTCAAAAGAAAAAAAACAAAAAAGGCAGTATTATCTGCACACTTTTAAAACTTGGAGACAGAATTTTTCTATGTTAAATACCATGCATATTAAGAGTTCTAGTGAGAGCCTATCTCACTCTTATGTACATGATTCATTCACCACCTGATATCTCCTCCGCTCCTCCTTTCCCAGCCCTGCCCCACCCCAGCCTCTGGAGCACAGAATGGGAGAATAACTACTAGCTTTGTTAGTGTGTTGGAAGCAGCCTGGAAGAGGAACCAAACTGGAAGGAGACAGTAGGAGGAATCTGAGCTCTTAAGGTCCAATTAAACCGAATTCTAAAGAGAAATATTTAGATGCCTAGGAGTAAACCAAGACCTTGCTATCCACATCTTTTGGTTATAGGCTGTGTCCTTAGATTTTGTTTTGAAAATACTATTCATTTTGGAGAATCTGAGTGTTAGATAAAGAATCTTTTAAATATGTTCCTTAGAATTATATTAATATTAACTAGAGCCGTCAACATGATAAATACTCTTTTAATTCAGTGGGTGTTTTTAATCCTGGAAATGTTAAGTCCATATAATGTTTTCTAATTCATTTTATAGTTTTTATGCAATATTCTCCTGTAGTACACTGGTTTTTTTTTGTTGTTTTTTTTTTTTTTAATGTGCACCTTCTCCCTTTTCTTGGTGTTAAGGATAACACATTTTTAGCTAAGGAAAGATGAGTACTGACATGTTAAAAAGACTTGCCCAAAATTATATATGAATGATGTTAACACCAAGCTTCATCTCTTTCTCCCATTCTTGAATGTAGAAGTTCACTCCTCAGGCATGAGATACCCTGATCACCCCTAAGGCCAAGATTGTTCCACTGAACCACATACAACTCATATTTTCTTTTCCCTGCCTATGTCTGCCCACTTTCTACCCCCTTGCTCTCTCTCACATTTCCTATTTTGAAAGACCCAAACTTTAGGGCTGCCATTGGCACCACCAACCTTGTCTAGTCCAGGGTACAATGTTTGCCGGCCCCAACAGATACGACTGTTGGATTTCTTCCCAAAAAAATATTTTTTGATGACAGTAGAACCTGTATTGATTAGTTGAAGATATCAGTGATTTCCACGGCTCCCTGGGAATTCTCTGGTGGTTTCTCTTAAGAGTCAAGAGGAAACTACAGAAAAGATTGCTCACTTTTAGATATGGTTTTCTATCTGATAACTTGAAGCTCATGTGCTGTTCATCCTGAGAGATTTTTAAGATCCAAGAAGTATGCTGAGATTTCAAATGTCACCAGATTCGTGCAGGTTTCTCACTTACGTCTTTACAATTTATTGAGCACTCCAGGTGAGCCAGGCACTGTGATAATCATTTCACATAGATGACCTTATTCCATTCTCACAAAAGCCCTGGAATCGAAGACTGCTGCTGTCCCCATCACATAGAAGCAGTACGTGTGGCCCAGGCAAATGGAGTGTCTTTCCAGGAGCACACAGTGGCAGAGCCAGAATATGGTCCCAGGTGGTTTACCTCCTAAGCCTTCTCACTAAAATCTGTGTCTCATATCAACACCTCATTTCTAGTTTTTTGCAATGAGTTGGCAATTTGAAAATTATTTTAAAAAATAAAGAGTATGTTCCTGGACAGGGCCTTTAGAGCATCTTGATCTGCTTGAAATTTGTAATGTGTTCTACTTTTCTGGATGGTGATTTAAACATTTACTGCACTTTAATTTGCAGGCCCAAGAAGTTAATGTTAAAAACATTCAAACAATATTGGTTTGTCTTTAAAGACACGTCTATAGCCTACTTTAAAAATAAGGAACTTGAACAAGGAGAACCAGTAGAAAAACTAAATCTTAGAGGTAAGAGTACTCTACATCTTGCCAATTCTAGGCAAGGTTCCTACAAAATGAAGCAAGGTTTACTTCTAGAGGAACCGCTATCCATCTAGGTTTTCCAGACCTGCAGCTCCTCGACCTCATAGAGCGTGGACCTCGAATGTGGTCTAGTGAGTGTGGTCACTTGCATTCTGCCATCCCATCTTGCCCAGTGTGTCCAGAGTCTAGGACGTGGTGGTAATTGGTGTCCATAAATGTAGCACATGAGGCATTGTAAGATCCTGAAAAGTTTCCTGAATTCAGAACAGTTATGTTTAATCCAGTATCACTTTACTGTCTATTCTAATTTCTGAAAGTCACTGTGAGTTTATACTGGTAACTCTCTATTAATTGAAATATTTAATTAACCAGCACACTCAACTATCATCATGTGGCCATCAGAGTCTTTCCTCTGCTTCGATTTACTTTGACATTCATATTCATAATTGTTCCTTTGAGTTAGGATAGCTAATATCAAACTGAAAAATGAACTCAATTGACTTTTCTCATTTAAGAAAATCGTAAAAGAAAATCATTTTTCTTAATCCATGTTAATTGTTCGTAAGTCTTATTTAGTTATCCTTAATGAGTGTCATCTGCTTGCTCCTCCATTTTTCAGAAGAGAACAAAATCTGCGGGGTTTATGTTCAAAGTCTTTATTTTAGATGCACACTTGATATTTATCTAACAGATTCCTCAGTGCTCAGTTTTGTCTGTCTTTTGCCATTCAGGCTGTGAAGTTGTGCCAGATGTAAATGTAGCAGGGAGAAAATTTGGAATCAAGTTACTAATCCCTGTTGCTGATGGCATGAACGAAGTGTATTTGAGATGCGACCATGTAAGTAAAACCACAGAAGATGTTAAGTCATTTCACCTTTGTGAAGCCTAAGAGCAAAACCTGTGTGATGTTTTCTACAATTAGAGCACTATTGTGTCAGTCAGCTATTGTTTTGCAACAGTCACAATGTAACAAAATCACAATGACGTTCAACAATAAATACTTGTTTCTGAAAGATCTACAGGTAGGCTGGGGGTTGGATGATCCAGGCTGGCGTCAGCTGGTCAGATCTGCTTTGAGACACGGGTTTCCACAAGACCTTGCCACAGGTTGAGCTGATTTTATTTATTCTGGGTCCCAGAAACCTCTCTTAGTGATGGCAGGAGTGCAAAAGGCTTGAAATTGGCATACTGTCACTTCCCCCACATCCCATTGGCCAAAGCAGATCACATAACTGAGCCTGATGTCAAGAGACTGGACTCGCACTCTGTCTCTTGTAACTGTTAAGTTACCAGGCAAAGGGTGTGGATCCGGGAGTGCGAAGATTGAGGCCAGTGATTCAACGTACCGCGGGCACTGTTGCACTGAACAATTCCCCTCCTTGAGGGCATCCCCTCAGCCTCCGGGGAGCCCTCCTATTCACTCCTTGAGCTCAAAAGTGAGCATAGACCTTAAAGAACAATAGAAGCCAGTACTAACTTGTTCAGTTCCCATAATGGCCCGAATTGCTACTTTAGAATTAGAATCTTTACTAAGGATAGAGCAGTATATGAATAATACAGGAAATCAGTTAATGATTTTTTTTTCATTATTTTCTTTTGTCACAGAGATCAGACATGATCTGAAACTGGAAATATGTACCAAGGAAGGCTCTCTGGTAGTTTGGGGTTTCACCTATCTGTGCTTCATGGCACTCCTTTGTGTCCTTGGGTCATCTTTAAATGCAAAGTTCCCTGCATGGAATTTATCAAAGCCAGCATTCCTATCCTCTAGCCCCTTAGTATCTAGAAACTCAACACACATCTCAAAGGCTATTGCCAGGTGTTACGTTAAGTGGTTAACAGTCATTCAGAATGTGCGCCACTTCACATTTTTCCTTGCTTGGAAGGTGATAGTTTTGTGTTACAGTGGAGAAGAAAGTCCAAGTCCTGCTGTTCATAACAGGGTGGCTTTGCACTTGAGCTTGCTTCTCAGCCCTCGGGTTTTTGCTGCAGGAGAATCAATATGCCCGGTGGATGGCTGCCTGCATCTTGGCATCGAAGGGCAAAACCATGGCAGACAGCTCCTACCAGCCCGAGGTCCTCAACATCCTTTCATTTCTGAGGATGAAAAACAGGAACTCGACATCTCAGGTGACTTCAAGTCTCGAAAACATGGACATGAACCCGGAATGTTTTGTGTCACCTCGATGTGCAAAAAAACACAAGTCTAAACAGGTACTGCTAATCTTGTTGGGGCGATTGTCTACAGTAGAATCTTTATGTTCTGAAATAAAAAGTTCCATCTGATTAATGCCATCATCATGAAAAAATGAATTGATGGGGAAAGTTGCCTATGTACTAAGTATTAGATGATATTAGGAAATTATTGTTAATTTTGTTAGAGGTGACTGTGATGCTGACTGAATATGGCGACATTTCCAGATTGAACTTAATCAAGAAAAATTGTTTAGTTCCCACCAACTGAAAATTAAAATTATGCCTCCATAGGAGTGGGTTAAAAGTTGCACAGATGAACTGAACTATCTCTGGATACTCCACGGATCTTGGACAAAAGGACCCTGGAGCTCTCCATCTGTAACCTTGGGAGCTTTTGTGTTTCCCAATCTCATTCCTGCTTCTCCCCGTCATGTCTTGTAGAAAAATGGGAATGAATGGTCTTTGTAGAGCTGCAGTCAGGCCTTGCATTTATTGTTCTCTTTGGGGATCCGGTGCTCATGGGATGATTACAGGGCAGTCGGTGCACACGGAGGAGAGTTTGATGTCTCCCGTTTCTGCTTAGCTGGCAGCCCGGATCCTGGAAGCCCACCAGAACGTGGCCCAGATGCCCCTGGTCGAAGCCAAGCTGCGGTTCATCCAGGCGTGGCAGTCCCTACCTGAATTCGGCCTCACCTACTACCTTGTCAGGTGACTACAGTGTTCACTGGCCTCTCTCACTTTCTGTTCAGTTGTGAGTGGCTTTCTGGGAACCCAGTTTATTCTCATTTAGCAGAGAATATAGAACTCTTTATTTTTGAATGCTGCCCTTTCAAACATGGTCCAAACACTTTGGGCTGCTCACAGACATTGTCCATACCTTCTGCTCCACAACCCTGAAACTCAGCTAAGGGAGAAAGGAAATTTTAAAAGGAGGAGATTTCCTTCTTTTAGGATAACTACATTTGCAAAGCCAGAGGGAAAACGTCACCTGTTGATTATATGAAAGCTGCGACTTTCTTTCACGTCAGCTTCCTCGCTACTGTGTACCTCATACCGTGTCTTGTGGTGTGGCTTTGCAGAATTTTTAGGTTTCTAGAAAGGTCCCAACGAACCTTGTGTCTTATCTTCATCCGGCTTAATCAGATAGCAACCCTGTTCCTACTGGTCCAAAGGACCCAGAGAAGGCCATCAATCACCCACTTCTGTTTTACAGATGAAAACACTGAAATATAGAAAAATAGCTTAAGTGAGTTGTCCAAGTTCACATCCTGGTCAGGGACATGCCTTGGCATAGAGCCTGGTGTCCTCACTGTAATCCCCACCCAGCGTGACGGCTCTGCCCCACTGTATAAAATGAATGGCTTCCCAAAATGTGTCCACAGTGTGCTTGTACGTCGAATTATGTTTTCCAGTTCAGTAGGGAAGACTGATGTTTAAGCAAAATCTAAGCTTAATCCTGCACTACAGTAAGTGCTCTCTGTCACTTTCTCATCTTATAATTTGAGGGTTGGAAGACAGGTTTGTATTTGAAAACATTGAATTATAGGAAAGTACAGTTTTCATTTGTTGTCTCAGCTCTTCAAAGACTCAGTTTCCTCAACCCCTTCTAGCAAGGGAGTCTATCCAGACTTTTCTATTCACTGAAACATCTCACTTAACATCTGTCCCCAATGTTTATCCCAAACAAGCAACTCCTCCTGCTTTAATCACTGCAGCAAAAGAGTGAGGGAGGGTGAAGCTGTGCGGGACATCCACTTATATGCATGGACATGTGTGCATATGTACATGCACACACACATGCACATACACACGCACACACGCGCACACACTCACCTATAACTCTGAAGTCAACCCCGCATGGTGGAAAGAACACAGACACTGGAGCCAACCAGGCCCAGCTTCCAGGCCCACCTCTGCCTCTGCTAGCTCTGTGTCCTGGGGCATTGTCACCGACCTCACCAAGCCTTAGCTTCTGCTCAGAGGGCATTGTGAGCAAATCCAGTGAAAGAAGGCAAGGAAAGTGACTGATAAATTATGAAGGGTAGTGTGGGCCCTGAACAAATTCCCCTGCCTCTTACTGCTGTCCCCCACTGCCTTTTTTCCAGCTGTTTCCCCCTACACTTCCCTCCCCCTCCAGCATCTGTCTATGGACATGAGGCTTTGAGGCAGCGGCCCTGGATGTGATGAAAATCTGCCTTTTCCAAGGCCAGTGCCCTGTGTGTAGGATGGCAGGCGGAGTCAGGATCTGCCCACGCCCGAGAAACCTGGGTCTTTCTTTGCTTCCTGACTCCCCGAGTTCCAGAGAGCAGCCCAGGGAGTCCCCATATGTTAGAGAGAAGCAGGTGGAGCAAGAAGCGAGCTAACTTGTGCTATAAGCATTATGGTGGTGGAATGAACGAATAATAAAAGATATGGGAATAATTCCAGAAAAGTACAGTAAACTTTAATCATACAAAGGTAACATGTGCAAAAGATAAGATGTGGAAAGTAGCTTATTCAACTAGGAACTCTTTTTCCTCCAATTATATATTTTTCTCTCTCCGGCAACCTCAGTTTTCACATCCTCACATCCCCCTCCAGTTGCTGTCCCTGTTCTCAGCTCCTCTTCACAGCAGAACTTGAACGTGGTGTCCCTACCACTGTCCCCAATTCCTTGCTTCCATTCTGTCTTGACCTTCCTCCAGTCAGGTTTTCTCCCCCTCCACAAGATACTGCCTCTGCCTCTCACTCTCATCAAGGTCACCCATTGGTCTCCCGTGACCTTCACATTGCTGACTCCATAGGTCAGCCTTTGCCAGCTGGCCTCGCAGCACGGTGAGCCCGGCCCCTCCTCCCAGACACACTTGCGTCACTTGCCTTCCTGGTTTTCCTCCTGTGTCACTGGCCAGTTCTTTTGGTCTCCTTTGCTGTTCTTTCTCATCTTCCCAACCTCGTATAATACTGGAATGCACAGGCCTCAGCTCTTAAAACACTCCTCCTCTCAGTCTAGACTCATCCTCTTGGGCTCAGCCATTCTTCTGGCTTCAATTATATGCTGATTACTCCAAAATGTATATCTTGAGCCTAGAACTCTCTCTTGAACTGCAGATTCATAAATCCAACAATGCTTAGATGTCTAACAGCCATTTCTCCTTAACATGTCCAAATTTCCTGATCTTACCCATCTAAACCAGCTCTCCCTACATTCTTGCGCATCTCAGTAAAGGGCAACTCCTCCCTCTGGATGTTCAGGCCAAATTTCTTGAGGTCATTCCTGACTCTGCTCTTTATCTCTCACACGACATCCTGTCCATTGGCCAATCCTGGTGATTCTGTCTTCAAAATATGCACTGAATCCGACCTCTCCTTACTGCCTCTGCCACCACCACCACCAGTTCCAGAGTGATCCTACCTGATCTTCTTGCCTCTACCCTTGACCCTTAAGTTTCCAACTCAGCAGCTAGAGGGGTCCTTTTAAAATCTCAAGTCAGACCATGTGAAGCCTCTGCTCAGAAACCTCTGAAGGCTTCCTGTGTCACTCAGAGGAAGAACCAGATCCTTACCCTGGCCTCCAAGACCTTAGCTCCCTAATTCTCTAACTCACACCTTTCTCCCCTCCTTCACTGTGCCAGCCACGTGGGCCTCCTGCCAGGTCCTTGAGCACTCAATAAATAAACAAAGTGGCCGTGCCCTCTGCCCAGAATACTCTTGCCCCAGAGAGCCATATGGTTCATTCTGTCATGCACATTAGTTCTTTGATCAAATATCACCACCTCGCTGACCTTCCCTGACCTCTCTGTTTTAGATTGTGACACCTCATTGCCAGTATTCCCTGGATCCCTTCTGTTCTGTATTTTTCCTCATAAGCTTATCTGGCATATTTATTTCACACTTATGATCCTATCCCCCCACCAGTCAGGAATTTTCTATCCATTTTGTACACTATAATATGCCCAGTGCCTGAGAGGGTCCCTGGCACACAGCGGTGGTGCTAATTTTGAATGAATTGATTTGACCTCCTCTTATTTTACTTTCCTCTGATGTCAGTTTCACTTAAAGAATGTCCGCAGGATAGTCTTCATTTATCCATTCCTCATATTTTCTATGTCACAATAAAAATGCTCTCCTGTAGAAAGTTAATCCCTCATTGTCTATTCTTCTAAAATGATTCAGAAATGTTGGTATTATCTTTAAGAAGTTGTATATGAATGAACATCATTATTATAGGAAACAGTTGCTTCTCTTAACTAATATTATTGGGGTTTTTGTTTTTGATTTTTTTTTTTTTTTTTTAAGATTTAAAGGAAGCAAGAAAGATGACATCCTGGGAGTCTCCTATAATAGGTTGATTAGAATCGATGCAGCCACAGGGATTCCAATTACAACATGGAGATTCACAAACATGAAACAGTGGAATGTCAATTGGGAAATCCGGCAGGTAAAGTGAAAGTTTTTGCTGTCCAGTGTTGAGCCTGTAAATGTGTGTTCTCTCAGAATTGCAGGTTATTCTGATTTTAAAAAGGTGTTCTTCTATTTAGATTAGGAACCCCCAAGCAGGTAGTAATTATCTGGTGAAATAATCACATGCAATTCTGGGAAGTTTCCTAACAAGTACAGGCCAAATGTTCTTGAATTAACACCACAAGTTGGCTTTATCTCCATCCAGGCTTTCCGTACAGACAGAAGCTAAAATTGCTGAGCAGTTTGATTAATTTTCACCGACTCATCATAGGATTATATAAAATTTAGGCTGGTGATTACTTAGTGGAAACTACCTGAGATGTAACTGCTACGCAAAATACAAATGCAAGAAAGGCCCCATCTGACTGGCTGCCAAAGGCTCTAACTGAATGAGGACGCAGAGGCTCAGCTGCCCAACTGGAGAACATTCCAGTCCCAAAAGGGAAAAAATGCCAGAGAAGCAAGGCGCACAGAGATGACTGAGAATAGTGTAGCCTCCTAAGATGAGGAGCCCACAAACCCTTAGCCTGTGTGACAGTTTCCCGTCATCTCCCATCCTAGGAACAACTACATTCAGGCCAAGCCTGTGTCCTGGGAAATTCGAGATGAAGTTAGCAGCAGCATCCTATTGCTGATTTAAAATATTCCGATGTTGCCAGTATAGAATCTATCTTTTCTCATTCCTTTTGTATTCTCGTTTTTCCAGTAGAAATCCATCAACCTAGAGGGACAGTAAAGGACACATGCTGGAGTCCTTTCAGCATTGCTGGTAACCATCTAGGCTCTCATTTGTAAAATGAAGGTCAGAGATTGGATGAACCTCTAAGGCAGTAGCTCTAAAACCTGGATGCATGTTAGGATCACCTGGAGAGCTTTAAAATACCACTGCCAAGACCACACCCAAGACCAGTCAAATCTGAATTTCTGGGAGTAGGAACTAGGCATCAGTAATTTTTGAAGTTCCGCAAGTCATCCCAATGGGCAGCCATGGTTGAGAACCAATGAAGCATCTAAGTTTTTTTTCTAGTGCTTAGTTTATGACTTTCAGCTGGGAAAGGATGCCAGGTAGTGGCTGTAGGGAAATTGAGGCAGACCTTTTATTCTCTATTAATGAGTCTGCAGAGCACCCTGCTCCTCAACACAGGGAGTGTGCTTGGGAGATTCTTATATCTATACGACACAGAAAATACTGTCCGTGTGTGTTGGGAGTTCTGTTTTACCAGGTGTGTGGCAAAGTTGACACCACAAGAGGGCGCAAAGAGAACAAAGACATGTTTTCTGCAAGTGTTTAACTGGAAGCGGTGGTTTTCTGTGTGGTCGTTTGGGATATCATCTGTCAGCCACCTCAGTGGCCCTCCTCTCCAGGGGCCCCTTAGCCTGTGTCACAGTTTCCATCATCTCCCAAGCAGCCTCTTTCCCGTCACCCCCTGTCAGAGTTTAAGCCGATCCGTGCCTTCCTCTTCCAGGTGGCCATCGAGTTCGACCAAAACGTCTCCATTGCATTCACCTGCCTGAGCGCGGATTGCAAGATCGTGCACGAGTACATCGGCGGCTACATTTTCTTGTCCACCCGCTCCAAGGACCAGAACGAAACGCTGGATGAGGACCTGTTCCACAAATTGACCGGCGGTCAGGATTGAAGCGGGAAGTCCTGCTGGGCCCACACAGACAGGCAAGCCAACTGCGGTTCCCGCTAGACGCACGGGATCCACGGCTTGGCCTGGGCCGTGTGTAGACTCCAGACCTATGGACGACACACGTTCACTCAGATCCTCGCCTCCTTCCAAACACACTGCTAGCACATCCCTTCCCTCACTTTGCTCTGTGCTATATCAGTTGTGGAAGGGGCCTCACTTGCCTTTTCTGCAAAATGGGTGGGCAGGAGGGGGGGGGGGTACTCTGAGATACTAGGGTCCAAAGGCCCAGCATGTCGCTACAGATCTGTGACTTGCAGAACCTGCCAAGTGTGTGGCTGGAAGTTGTCCTTGTGCTTATCTGCCTCATTGCTAAGTCAGTCGAGAAATCAGAAAGGTAAAAATCCCATGTAGAAAGTACAAATCTTATTCCACAAACTCAGGTATGAAAAGCAATATGTCTTTCCCTAATGAAATTGCTTTAGCTCCCATTTTATGAAAGTGGCACAGGGCGTCCCCCATACACACACTTTTTCCCTGGAGGGAAGGTCTGGGAGTGGAGAGGGAGGAGCAGGGCTGCCTGGTAGCGGTTGGTGACGAGGTATCAGGGCAATGGCCTTCAGTGCCCTCCGTCCACACTGACATCTGCTGAGGTGACCACTGACACATCCGGTCTTGGTCATTGGTCCTCTTGGGTCACTGCTGCCACCCGCAAGCCCTATTCCATTCCTGGGGATCCCTCAGCCACCTTCAAGTCCTTCGTGAAGACGTGGGTGACTCAAGGGTGTAGGGAAACCTATTCCTCAGCCCAGATCCATGTGTTAGTTGCTTCTGCTCTGGGTTGGGGCTCAGGGAGACGGGCACAGTTCTCTGTGTTCATAAAAACCACTTCCCAGCATCAAGGAATCCAGCCCGGCGTCCATCCCACCCGGTCAGGGAGAGAAGGGCGGACCTGTTCTCAAGGACCACCATGTGCACGGGTGCAACCCCAGGGCCTCTGGCTGATCCGGGTGGTGGGGAAGTGTTCCTCGTACCACGAAACCGTGTTCTCCTGGATTTGGTGTCTGTGTTTATATGACTCCTGGCCTTTTCCCTAAAGGCCTTTGGCTTTTGTAAATCACAAGCCACTAATAGACTCTTTTTCCCCTGCTTTTTGCTGGTTATCCCTGCCTTGAGACATCATCGTGAGCCAAGTTAACAGCTGAATTGAAAATGAATTGTCATTTTCTGTTTTGGTTTGTTAGCAGTGGGTGGGGTGGGTTTAGAGTAGGTGAAAAGCAATACCAGAGGTAAAGGGAACTATCCGATAATACTTTATTATGCTTTTTCTAAATGTTCTCCTGTCACATGAAAAGCTTGGGTTGCAAGGATATAAGGCAAAGGTTCCAACTCTGTTCTGCAGTTCTCTCGGCATGAACCCTCACGGGGCCTGGCTGGAGCCCAGATGCCCGCAAGCGTCAGCTGCTGGTTTATTATCTAACACAGCCATCTGAGAAGGGAGATCTCAGCAGTTCCGGGAGCCACATAGCGACAGTCTTGGCTAAGGACCCCCTGGTCCAGAGCCAGGACCTGCCATCTGGAAATTCCTCTTTTAGCCTCTCTGTAGAGGTGAATGTTGATGAAGCCTCCCAGGCACCAGCTGAATTTTTGAGGCCTAACTTAAAGCTCGGAGATGGCTTAAGCCCTTGGAAAATCAGGTTCACTCATAGAGAACTTAATTTGAAATGGTTTATATAGAAAGTAGTGCTAAGTGTATGTGTTAAACTTGGTGTTGGTCATTTCTCTGTAGACCTGGGCTCTATTATTTAAGAAGCTAGTCAAGTTGTTACAATTACAACGAAGCCATACATTAAAATAATGTTCCTTGTCCGATTTTATCTGTCTTCGGACAGCACTCCCTAAGTTTATCTAAGTCAAATCTTCAGGTCAACCCTCTTCCTTAGTTTTTCATGGTCATCTGACATTTCCATGAAAACACTCAAAGGAATTGACTGGTTTTAACCAAACTGTCTCTGTTGGTTACAACTTTCAGGGGAACATTTCTTCTGTGACTACAACAGCAACGTCCCAAAGGAATAAACAAGTATGACTAGAAAACCTTAAATGCTGCTGTTCCAAAGAGCAAACTTTAAGGACATTTTTTTTTTTTTTACATTGGTACAAAAGGTCATGTGACTTTCTATGATGAAATTTTAAATTAATGTGTGCCTTTCAACATCATTTGCTTTCTTATCTACACTAGATGCAGAAATCTGCATTTTTTTATTATTTTATATGACCTTTTTTTAAGTAAAAGGTTTGTATGGAGTTGAGCGTGGTCCAGTTGTGTCCTTTCCAACCTGTCTCCAAAAAGGTGATTATTTTCTCTGTTACGAAAAAGGAGCGAGACTCCCAGGTCTGGCGCAGGCCTCTCCTCACGCTGCCAAGGTTCCAGCTAATTCTCCCCACGGCTGTGGGGAGCGGCTGATCACATAGGTCCTCAGAGATCAGCTGAGAAACCTCACTTAACCGTTGGTTTCAATTTCTTTCTCACTGACTCCGTCTCCAGCTTTCCTGACGTATCCTGCCTTATCGTGAGCTCTTTTGTCTTTTACCAGATTTGTCTTTTAGAAAAAAAAAAAAAAACACCAGAGAGCAAAAAAAAGTATCCGGAGGCAACAGAGCAGCTGAAGGCTTCTGATTGTGATGGCTGGATGTTGAGGGTACTTATTTGTTTTAGGGATAGGGGGTCCCTAATGGCAGTGACATACAGATCCGTTTGCATGCAGTTCTCACTCCCGCCCATAGAGGGCAGGAGCAGCTTGCTTTCTCCCTTTACAAAGGCGAAAAGAAACTCAGAAGGTGAAGTAACTTGCCCAGGGTCACACCGCTGATAAGCAGTGAAACCAGGCTCCAAAGCCAGATTTGTCTTAACTCTGGAAACCACTAAGCTTCACCCCGCGAACCCCACCCTTCCTTCCCCAGCCCTGCTCAGCCTTGAAAGGACCTCCCCCTGCCCAGCCTCAGTGCAGGCTTCCCCTTAGCTCAGCGTCCCAACATGGCTCACACGGGCCGGCCAGAGGGCGTTAGGGAGAGTGGCTGCCCTGAGTTAGCTAGGGGCGGAGGGGTGGACCAAAGCACCGGAGAAATGAGGTGCTTAGAGAGTACTTTATTTTTAATTCTGGGAAAGTTTCGTGACCAGTCCCTAGATCAGAAAAGTAAGGAAATGAGGAGGAGCCATTCATTTGAAAATTCATCTTTTATTTGTAGGCACTAGAAGTCAGGACATTTTATGATATCTATTTTCTGAAATCAGTAAAAATTTTTTAATTCACTTATAAGATTTCTTTATTTGCTTCTACATTCAATATCTTTATATTCATATTGTTTTTCCAAATGTGACCTTCCTGCCTCCTCCCCTGCCCCCTCAATCACCCCAGAATCTCGCAGTGACTGGGGGGGCAGAGACACCCTTATTTGCTATTTCACCCCTTTTTCCCCCTCATTTCCCTACCATCAAGGGCTCTCGAGTCCTGGGAATCATGGACAGAAAATCCGAAGGTCAGCACTTGGCCCTCGCTGGTGATAAAGTTTTTCCATTCCCTTGTACCTCATTGAGGCCGTGTGGATAAATGTCGATTGCTATTAAAAAAGGAAAAAAGAAAAATCAGCCAGTCCCTGTTCTGTCCTCACAAATGCCTGTGCTGGCCGTGAACTCCAGCTGTGTGCCCTTGGGGTGGTAGGTTCTCGGCCTTCTTTAGCCATGCTCCTGACTCACAGCTGTGGGAAAGCTTCTTTCAACTAAACCGATTTAGCCTCCTTCCTCCAACTCACTGTGTGACCTTGTAGAAGACCCATAATTCCCCTGCATGCCTCAGTTTCTTCACTTGTTACAAAGGAAAAATCCCATAGCCACTCCTCAGCCAGAGCAAATGGCAAATGCTTTGTGGGAACTTAACAGGATATTATTTCTCTTCTTCACCCCTGGAAGTTGGGAGGTGAGGCCTTCGGCTGCTCACTGAGACCCCTGGGAGGCAAAAGTGGACCCTGTGGAGGAGGCAGAACCCTTTGTGAGTGGAGCCGAGGACCTCTGGGTGGGGAGGGTCCAGAGCCCCAAGCCTGTGCCCTCTGGTTCAAGAGATGTGTTGGGAGAGGCCTTGGGGGCTGACGGGGAAGGCAAATGAGGTTCCGTCTATAAATATATATTGCCGTAAGGAAAGGGTAGAGGGTTGCAACAAGGCGAGGGGCCAGGGCTCGACACACAGGCTCAAGCGTTGGTGATGGGGTGGCTGGTTGGGCCCAGTGCCTGGCTGGTAACAGACGGCTACTAGGAGAGAGCAAGCACACTCTTCAGGCGGGGCTGTGGAGGCCGGGAGCCGGGGCTGTAAGGGTGAGGCGTTCCAGGCACCTGGGAGCACCGGGGATGGAAGTCAGACCAGGTGCTTTCAAAGGGCCACTTAACTTCCTCAAATGTTGTCGAAGAATCAATATTGGCAGCCAGGCCAGTCCACGTGACCCAATGTTATCTAAGGGAAAAAAAAACAGAACCAGTGTTTCTTTTCTAGGAGTTACGCACACCCAGCTTCAAAGGAAAGAGGCGGTCTCCATTTCCTAACAGGCCACGGACCAGTATTGGGCCACGGCCCGGGGGTTGGGGACCACAGGTAAAGGCTGCCGCCACAGCCAACACGATGTCAGTGAACGCAGAGTTGGGGAGCGGGTACGAACATCTACCTCTCCAGAGGGGGATGAACCAGCTCCAGCACACAGGGGGACTGTGATCAGAGAGGTCAAGCAACTTGTCAAGGTCTCCCAGCTAGTATGTGGGAAGCAAGGATTTGTACCCAGACCTTCCAACTTGAGGTGTGCTCCTCAGTGCTTGATTGCTCATGTGAACAGCAAGGCCTCCCGAGCTAAGAACCCTAGATTGGCTTTGTGACAACGTCCCTGATTTGATTTTTCTCGGAACATATTTGGGTAAGGCCTACAAAACTCCATAGATAATGTTTCCTCCAATTACTTTACAC